TTGGACACTTCCCACACCCTCACCTTCAGGGTGTCTCTTCCTCATAATCCAGGCACCTTCTCATTGCCATTGTGATTCCACTTCACTCCCCTTCCATCTTTCTTCCTCACAACTACCGTTGTTGGCTGCGTCACTTCTCCACCCTGCCAAGAAACAGAAATCACTTGAACGTGTGTAGAATGATAACACCCTTGGCAAAGTATATTCTGGGGTCAGATGTAACTAGAGTTCTGAACGTTCTATGTCTTGAACAAGTTAGATAAATGTAAGGCTGCTGTCTACGAAGAGTGGAAAGGAAAGACACAGAGAAAAATAATTAGGATCCAATGGCGAATGAAAATGATTAGCAACCAGAGGGAGACGAAATTAGAATGGTTTCCAGACAGTTTAAAAGGGACCTATCTCCCATCTTCTAGGCTGCCCGCCTCCTCTTGCTATGTCTAGCCTGAGTGCCCCATTTAAGAACAGGCAACAGCTGATCTATTGTGTTACTCATCTATCTTTATTTGCTTCCAAATGTCAAAAGCTCTGAGAATTTTTTGGACACCTTCACTGACCGTATTCCCTTTCTAAAAAGTTGGCAGCCACCGCCATCCTTATGAGGCAGAGAATATCTAAAGTAAAGAAAAGAGATTACACGCCTTCCGGAACAGAGCAGTGCTGCCTGAACTAACAACTTCCTGGATTCTCCCCCCACCCAGCCCTGCCTGAGTGCATCCCTTTCCTAGGGCTCCTGTTGAGGCTGTGTAATTAAACTTGTTTTGCTGTGTGAACACCATCCCTTGGCGCCCATTAGAAGCATCTGTTAGTTCAGAGAGCTGGTGAAGAAAATCAGAAAATACGTGGACAGCAGACCAGGCTGAAGAAGGATGTGACTGGGCTGAGGGGTCTTCTATGGCTCTCCCTGGCTCCCCGGCCTAGTCATCCGATCACCCATCAGTCATTCAGCCTATTCTCATTGCCCCATTAAAAAAGTTGCTGCTTTTCTACTTTGGTTTCTTGGGCTGCCTGTCGCACCTCATGACAAAAGAAATATGTTCGCAACTGTGGTTGTTGCTAAGTGCCATCAAGCCCGATTCTGACTCATAACAACCCTGCATGGGGTTTCCAAAGAGCAGCTGGTGAGTTTGAACCACCAACTTTGTGATTCAAACCAACCTTGCAGTCCAATGCTTATCCTACAGTGCCACTCATTAATGACTGCTAAAACTTTCCGGTGAAAAGTTGATGAGGGTCCCGAGGACCATCAAGGGAGAAGAGCAGAGAGCAGGACCCTACCCAGAGAAGCAGTGATGCCTGAAATGGAGCCAGAGATGATGACGTGGAG